AAGAAAATAAACTCCTCTCATTGTTTGTGTGGTGCTTGTTCGCGCCAAATTGAAGAACAGAGAACCTATACTGAAGGCGATGCATCATCTTCATTGATGAAGTTGTCTCAAATGATGAAGTTCAACATTGCTTCTATATATGAGCAAAGATACCAACTTTGAATTTCAAGCATCAAACGCTTGCCATAAACGCGTTGGTAATTTAAGGATCAGTTTTCAAATAAAATAGAAACTAGGAATATGGAATTACTTCTTATAAGAGAATCAGAACTTATGTCTGTTAAGCTGGTTTATTCAAATTTTCAAAATTTCAAAATTTTGAATACCGATCAACCGCTAGTCAATATCGCCGGTTCTTTAATCATTTTCAAGCGAGTATTGCTACGAATTTCATCATATTCAAACAAAAGTCCACGTTCCACACTTTCCACTTTCAGCCTCTTTCTCATTCTTTCCATTAATAAACCTTCTCATAATCTTTTTTTTATGATTACATTCTATTCATTGTTGTTTTTCTAAATTTGGTTTAAACCCAGAAAATAGATTCTGATAGCATGGTGGAACCAAAATTATTTCATGTTAGTAAGTCCTGTGTTACTCTCTTATTTTGAATATATAAAATAGACCACTAGGATTAGCTTATATGCTTTCTTTTTCAAAGATGCTAAACTTATAATGGAAGTTTTACTTTACTTGTTTTGTTATGCAACGGAAACATAAACTCTAACGCTAGCTATTGAATATAATAATAACAAGTAGTAAAGCATAAATAAATAGCCAAAATTTAAATGCAAAAATAAAGAATACCATGAATTAACGAGGTTCGGTATTGAAACCTACGTCCTCGGGCGCTGCAAAAGAAAACTCCACTATCTCCAAAACATTACAAACTTTTGGGCAATACAACAAATACCCAAAACAGGGGAGATACAACAAAACTTACAAACTAAAGGGTCCTTAAAGAAAGAACCCTAAACAAAAGAAGTATAATAGAATTACAACTTGGGATACAAATAACATTGATTTAGGTCCTTATATATAGGCCCCAAAAGCTTCCCACTTTTCATTCCTTTTCAATGTGGGACAAACTAACTCATTTTGGCCTATTACATATAAGTCCCTAAACCTTTCTCCATTGTCACTTCTACCCCATGTGATTTTGCTAAAAGCCATTTGTCAAGACCAATCTCCACCTGGCGAATTAGCAAATCTTCAAAGTTTTGTTATTCTTTTGCCAAATTTTCAACACCTTCAAGTGCCGAAAAGCACAATCAAGCTCGCAGGATGTTGATCAAGTTCAAACAATAAATGAACTTGACCCTTGTCACTACTGAAGTCAACATTTCTGCAGGATTTACTTCTGTGCCAATCTTCTGGAGAATCATTTTCCCATTTTCAATATATCCTACACAACACAACCAATATCTATAGTACATAAAATATACTGTAGAAACCATTTCACAACTTCAAATGTCCTTTACCAGGATCATGCTATGCTGCTCACCATACTAACTGCTTGTGAAATATCAGGCCTTGTGTACCCATGGCCCATCATACATTGATCAAATCGCTTATACCACTGTCTTGGTGACTGCTTCTGCAAACCCAATTTTTCTTTCCAGCAACCCATAATCATCTAGCTGAGTCTTGTAATTCCCTTCCAAACTACCATGTGAAAACACGATTTTCACATCCAATTGAACTAGTTCAAAATCAAACTGTGCCACTAAGTTAGCAAATTAAATAAAGAATATTTTACCACAGGAATTCATTGTAATCAAATCCTTCCATTTAAGCGTATCCATTTACTACCAACCTAACCGTGTCGAACATCTCTCTATTAGGAAATCCCTTCTCTTTGCATACACACCCATTTGCACCAATTGTCTTCTATGTAGGGATCGCATTTCATCATTCATGGCTGGTTTCCATGATTCACAATTTGAACTCCTAACTACTTCTTATAAGTAGTAGGAATATCATCACCTACGATTGGAAGTGCATAAGCCACCATATTAGCGAAACAAGCAGGCTTGCGAATTTCTCGTCTTGGCCTATTATATGCAATCGTCCTGTTGCTGAGGAGATTCTTGGGGTAAATCTCCTTTTCATCTATAGTATCCACATTAGTCACCTCAGAATCACTTTCTGTCTTGTGGACACTATCTGGTTCAACTGTTGTTTTAAACTCCACCTCGCGAGTATGCTCCACCACATATGCCACAGCTTGAGCATTTCTAAATCTCATCCTCCTGTACGACTGCAGCTGTCGTTCCAATAACTGTACTACCATTAAGTAATACAAGTTGTTTCTCCTTATGCCTTCATTACCACAAGAGCTCCTGAAGAAACTTTTAGAATTCCATCTCGCATATTCACCGTGAAGCTTTAGATTCCAAGGCTCCCAAAGAGATGGATTCTTTTTCAACTTCGGTACATATCGAACATCTGTCAGTTTCTAGTTGAGCCATCAGATTCTTCAACTGAATTGAACCTATCCCATTTGTTTTACAAGCATCATCATTGCCCATATAAACAACTCCACCATCAAGTTCTTCAAAATAAAGAACACTCCTTGGGGGGACACATATGATAGGTACAACCTGAATCCATAATCCATTCATTTGTTCCAGAGGTGGATGGTAGGCTACTAGCAGAATCTGACTAATCTCACTCCTCTTCACGTCAACAACGTATGCATCAGAAGTAGCTTTGCCCTCTTTCTTTTGCAACTTCGGACAATCTTTCTTCCAATGCCTTTTCTCACGACAAAAGGCACATTGATCCCTATTGAGTTTTCCCTTAGAACGAGATCTTCCTCTTCTCTCCTTCTTACGACTCTGATTTGACTCCGCCCTCTGCACAAGAGCTTCTGCTGACTCATCTCTATTCTCCTTCTGATCCTTCTTCCGAATTTCATGATTGGACAGCAGAACAAACTTCTTCAAAGGACAATTTTTCTTTCCCATGAAGAAGTGTAATACTAAGATAGTCCAACCATCTGGAAGAGATCCAATTAACAACATAGCCTTATGCTCATCTTGAATGTTTCATCCATTTACAAATCGCAATTAATCTATTATGTATCAATATGGCTACTGATATTCGTACCTGGTCTCAACTGAAGACAAAACAGTCTTTTCGTCAAATAGAGCCAATTCTCATTACTTCCTCATGTATTTGTTTTCCAACGCCTTCCATAACTTATTGGCAGAAGTCTCTTTCATGAATGAATTTTTGCTCTCTACAAAGACATGAGCGAATCATCCCACACGCTTTTCATTCAACCTCACCCAGTCTTTCTCATAGACATCTTTTGGTTTTTCCTCCTCCAGAATGATACTAGATCCTGCTGATACAGCTATCTATTACCTCACTCTGCCACAGCCAAAATTTTTGGCCATCAAATTTTTCAACATCAATTTTTGCATTTGAAACCATTATCATCTTTACTGGTGCGGATGGTGGTCCGCGACGGTGATGCCTCGGTGATGAATCCTCGAACAATGATGCCATTTATCCTTACTCAATTGGCTTGGTAAACAAAGTTCCAAATAACCAAGCTCCACAAATTATTATATTCAATAGCTAACCAACAAATCACAATAGCCCTAGGTAGTAGAAAGTGCTGAATGATTAAAACCACCAGGAAAATTCCCAGGAAACATGGAGGGTCACAAATGGTCCTACTTAAAATCCAGTCTCCTTAGACTTTTATCGTCTTTGACAGAATTCCTAGACTGCATATAACCATACAATAGCTACTCCTCCTAAACCTAGGCTCTGATACCAATTGTTATGCAACGGAAACATAAACTCTAACGCTAGCTATTGAAATAATAATAACAAGTAGTAAAGCTAATAAATAGCCAAAATTAAATGCAAAATAAAGAATACCAGGAATTAACGAGGTTCAGTATTGAAACCTACATCCTCGGACGCTGCAAAGAAAACTCCACTATCTCCAAACATTACAAACTTTTGGGCAATACAACAAATACCCAAAACAAAGGGGAGATACAACAAAGCTTACAAACTAAAGGGTCCTTAAAGAAAGAACCCTAAACAAGAAGTATAATAGAATTACAACTTGGGATACAAATAACATTGATTTAGGTCCTTATATATAGGCCCCAAAAGTTTCCCACTTTTCATTCCTTTTCAATGGGGGACAAACTAACTCATTTGGGCCTATTACATATAAGTCCCTAAACCTTTCTCCATTGTCACTTCTACCCCATGTGATTTGCTAAAAGCCATTTTTCAACATGTTTGATTGTTGCAGGATATTTGAGTAATTGTTTAATTTGTGTGTGGTTACTTGCACATTGCATTTGTAGTCTTTGATTATAAGAAAAGATATATAACACAAGTTGAGATTCTGGGTTAGTTTTATATTGTTGAAATACTTAATATAATAATATGAATATATGTATGGTCTGAATATGTTTCTTCTTCAACTGATATTTGACTTCAAGAAAAAAATCAAGTAGCTCTCCTTAAACTTGCGTGAACAAACCTTTGATGCAGATAAAGTATTATATTAAAGAGATTACTCACATGTTTGACCTGCCCTCTGTCCTAAAAATGGGATAACCTTTAGGTTGTACTATCCAAGTTGAGTTATCTTTATTCTTCTTTATTTTCTTCGGCAGATCATCACATCCAAAAAACAAAAAGCCCTTTTGAACTTGGTGTTGGTGTTGCTTCATAGTATCAAAGATGGAAGAGTGCAGTCTTAAAAAATGGGAGAACTCTTCTCCAAATAAATGTCGTGGAGGTAATTTTTTTTGTTTGTTGTCTCTTTTTTTTTTTTTTTTTTTGGTATTATTAAATTCTAATTCTGGCTATTATATTATCAATCAATAATACCTTTGGATAATTATTTTGAAGAAGTAGAAAATACAAGCACTGCAAAAGAGGAATGGGAACCAACCACTGGAATGTTTTTTTATTCATTTGACATTCTTGCACAACACTACAGAAGCTATGCAAATAAAATGGGTTTTGAAGCTATTATAAGATCATCAAAGAAAGGAGATGATGGTGAGGTGAAAAATGCGTCATTGGCTTGTTGTTGTAGTGGGAAGTCCAGTAATTTGTCCAGAAATGCCTTTAAAAAGCATGTAGTGACAAAAACTAATTGTAAGGCTCCGGTTAATGCATCTGTACATTTTGATGGAAAATGGAAAATATGTTCAGTTGTCTTTGATCATAACCATGAACTTAGTAGTTCTGGCAAAACAAGATATTTCAAAAGCAATCGAATAATACAACCGTCTGTGAAAAGGAAGCTGGAAGTGAATGGTAGGGCTGGGATTAGACCAAATAAAAATTTCAATTCCTTGTACATTGAAGCAAGGGGTGTTGAGAATTTTTCTTTCCTACAGAAAGATTGTAAAAATTACACTGAAAAGTTTAGGAGGCTACAACTTGGTGGTGGAGATGCTTCTGCACTCCAAAAATATTTTCTGAAAATGCAAAATGAGAATTCAAATTTCTTCCACATAATGGATTTAGATGAAGAGGGTTCATTAAAGAATGTTTTATGGGTGGATGCAAGAAATAGGGCCATATTTAAAGAATTCGGTGATGTTGTGACATTCTAGACAACATACTTGACTAACAAGTATGATATGCCGCTTGGTGCTTTTGTTGGTGTTAATCATGATGGGCATTTGACACTGTTTGGTTAAGGCGGTGGAGAAAAAATATAAATAGATGTCATACGAAGGTTAAGATTAGTTATGATAGTTGGAGCACTAATGTTGAAGGACAACGATTTGATAAGTTGTCTAATTTATTTATCACTATAGCAGATTTGACATCAAACAATGAGGATGATTGTAATATGGTGATAAAAATGATCAATGACATGAAGAACAAGTTGATGTCGAATGAAAGTGTTAGCGAGATTGATAAAAGGCTAAACATGTCAGCTAATAGTAGAATGAATTGTGAAGGTGTTGATGGTACTTCCAAAGAGGGGAGTAGTAATATTCTTACTTCACGGGCTATTCATAGCAAAGGTCATCCTCCATTCAGAAGAAAGCAATCAAAGTTTGAACAACTTGTGCATAAAGTAAAAGAGAGGAAATTGCAAAAGCAAGCAATTGCTATGAATTTGAATCCTCGTCACAGAATTGAATTTAATCAAGCAACTCAGGTAATTTATTTATGTTTCTTTGTTTAAGTTGATGTTTACATGTGAATTCTACTAATACGCTTGAGTTGTTGTTGTATCTTGCATAGGGATCAAAGGAACTTCAGTGGCAGGAAGTTGGATGCTCATGTTCATTAACTGAAGGGCAGCAACCCTAGGTGCTTACGATTCTTTTATTTTTTTTTTTCACTTTAGGTCCTATTTGTTTCCCATGAAACTCATTTCCAATATAAAAATCATGTGTCAAAATAATTGTGTGTGTATGTTATTTCTTGGGTGTGGTTTCATTTTTGGTGGCCCTTTTTTTCTCCCTTATTGTGTGTGTAATCAAGGCAGATTTCTGGCTCCTTTTCTATGTTTATTTTGTAGGAGTTGGCTCTAGGGTAATAGTGCTCTAGAATCTGGCTCAAATAATGTGTATATATCTGTAAGTTACACCTGATTTTGTTTTAATCGGATAATCATATGAAACAAAGCCAATCTTCTCTTTTTCTTTGAATTGTATTAGGTCTTCTAGGTTGAAAGATGTTGGCTCCTATTGATGGAGTCTTCTCTAGTATTGACATATTTATTTGTTTATAAATTATTACTATTGTGATGTATGCTGCAATCTGTTTATAAATTTATTTGTTTTTGTGGTTGGGAAGTTTGTCTACAGTTTGGGACTAATTCAAGGGAGTTTATCTAGTGTACATTTTTAATGCTGCTTCAACACAAATACTGCTGTTGATGGAGTATGGTGTTTGTTGAAAGCTTTTATGTGGGAGAATTGGAGGTACAACATCAGGTTTATGCTTGGTTCTGATTATTTTTGGGTGGTGCAATTAAACTGGTTGTGCAGTAGGTTGTACGGGGTCATTGTCTGCTAATTGTGCAGATTTAAGTTTGCAGGGTGTAGTTTATCTTTGTTTTTTTCCAGATGTCTGGGGCACTAGGGGCAGGGTGTTATGTGTTGATATAGAAATAGTGCCTTGTGGGAAGTGGTTCACAAGAAGCAAGTGTGACTGTAGCATTTTCTACAATTCCTGAGTTAAGTTTGCAGATTTTGCAGATTAGCAAATTCAAATGACTACAGATTATGTGTTTATGGGAGGGTTTGCCCATTACAAAGCTATTCAATTAAGGAAGAAAATGTATATGCTACAATTCTTATAGGTTCCAGGGATGTGTGGTAAGTAGGAAAAGGTTTCGTTGGGGCAACAACCTATTCTTTGCATTTTATACATTATCTGCTTGAGTTTATCGGACTGGATATGCAGTCTGTGCAGGCTGTCTTCTGTGTTTTTTGTAAAGTGTTGTGCATAGTTTGTGTCCAAAGTTGCAATTATAATTTTTTTGCAACATTTTTCGTTGTTATGTGCATGGATAAACTAACATGCTTCTTTTGGCAGAATGCATTTGAGCTGGCTTCATTTTTTTGGGTCTGGGTATATCCTCTTCCATGACTTTATTTGTATCATTTGAACTATTGGAGATGACTTTTGTAATACCTGCTTTTATACCAAGTTTACTCAATTTCCAAGTTTTCTGCTCAACATTAGCAAACCTCAAATTGACTTAAAAAATAATTTCCACTATTAGTCGGAAGAAAATTAATTGCTTTTTATTAGCAGTTGTGTGATCTAAAGCTATAGACTTTGACTATAAAGAAGTAGCTATCAAATATCTGTAAATTTCATTTAATATATCCTCATTGAGCAAAAAATTTTATTTGACGATTGTCTATATATTTCTTATTGCAGTCATTGCTCTGTGATCCCAATCTGAATTTGCCTGCAAATTCTGAAGCTGCTAAGATGTTTAGTGAGAACAAGCGTGAGTACAACTAAAGGGAAATAGTGGGGCAGAGCTGGACAGCAGACTACCTCTTCCTTGGGCGGGGTAATTCGAGCCTGAAGGTTTTAGGGCATGTTGTATTGACATTGCCATTTCATTATCCAGTTTTAGGAGTTGTTGAATTTATCATGTATTTCTCATGTCAACCTTTCATATATGAATTGGAGAGCTATTTGATCATTTTGATCCATATTATAGTATGACTTTTCAGTGTGTTTGTTTGTTCAACCAGTTAGAAAGTGCTTAAATTGTGGGTTTAACCAGCAAATGGCTAACAACAACAATGCATAAGTCTCAGTGTTTGTTCCATATTTCCCATTAAATAGGAAAAAGTCTTTGTTCCATATTTCGCTGTTTATCGATTCAATAATATTATTGACAAAATAAAATTAAAGCAAGTGAACATGTTATTTTTCTCAAATATATCAGAAGTGGAGATGGAACAGAAAACTATTGTTGATATTAATAATGTCTAACATAGATAAATAAGAGTACAAGTTGATGAAATGAGGGTCTCAAATGTTGAAGGACATCTTAACATTTTTACATATAACTAAGGAAGATGTCGACACATACACATTCACATGAGCACTCTTATGTACAGCCAAATTACACAAACTACTGCTTAGATGTGCCTCAAGCCAACAAAATCCTCATCTTATCATCATCATCATCATCATCATAATATTCTTCATCCACTCATAGTAGCTTCATTTTTCTCTCTCACAAGCAATTTATGAGAAAAAATCCTAACTTTTGGTAGAAACGATTATCAATCTTAGCCCACCAATGGGTGATAGAACACCCTCATCATCATCATCATAATCTTCATCCACTCATAGCAAGCCCTCCAAAGAATCCAAGCAAGTAACCAAAGAAAGGAACACATATACCCACTGCCATTGTAAATGCTGAATTATCAAAGATTAAAAGAAATTACTTTATTAGTTTGTGTTCCCCGGAGAGAAAACAGAATAGTTAGGCATGTACTTACCAACATATGTACTTCGGGTAGGAAGGAGAAGAAAGAAGGAAGGTGTGAAATGCAACTTCTTCATCAAAAAAGCTTCAAGCATGTTGACCACTAGCATTGCAAATATCTGCAATTTCCTAGAATAAGAGGAAGTAATGTTAAAACTTTTCTGAAATAATTCAGATACAAAAGTAAAACTCGAAAGATGATGAAAACTAGAGTGACTATTGAATTAGATTAACCTTCTAGCTTCCAATGACATGGACGACCACAAAAATATTACCCACAGCAACAAGCCAAGTGGGTTTCTCTAATGTGATGAGGATGTTGTCATCAACATTGTTTCCGAAAATGTAGTAACCAACAATTGAGACTGGGAAGTAATACAAAGCTCCAACAATATATTTAACTACTCTTTTCCACATTGGTCCTTTTGATAGATTCTCAAGAGTTGAGGGAATTGTTGCTTGGATCTCCAGAACCACATTATGACATGCATATGCAAAAGCGAACTCTCCCAACCCACTCAAGAAGTCAAACAAAACCCTTGTGTGCTTTTCGGGTTTGGTATAGGGTAATTGATTTAGACAAAAAAAAAAATGAGGAAGATGATAGAGCAGTGTGTAAAAGGAAGAGTAAACAATGTCGGTGGGTGGTGGTGGAAGACGATAGGCCACGGTGGTGGAAGAGGAAGAGCGATGTCCAATGGTGGTGCAAGACAATAGCCAGTCGGCGCTGGTGGTGGAAGATGATGGATTGGTGGGAGAGATCTGATTTAAGGGAAGGAATGAGATTTCAATTTTAGGAGAGCTGATTTGGGAGGGAATATGTAACGCCCACATAGAGGTACGTAATTTAATTTATGCTCTTATACCTTTAGTTGATTTTTGCTAAAGTTATTTTGAGAAAATGTGAAGAAAATGCCTTAAACTTGCATTAAGAGTAAAATGGTCTTTTCACTCAAAATTAGTTGAAAAAGTGGAGAGTGAAAAGAGATAGATTTTCATGGAGAATGCAATAAAAATGAGGGCATTCTGGTAATTGATTAAGGGATACAGATGGAATTTTAAAGAAAGTGCAAGGGCAAAATGGGAAACTATATATAATTTTATGTTATATCAAGGATTGAAGAGTGAAACCCTAGCCACTCTTCAACCCATTTTCACGCCACTTCTCCTCCAAATCCTCTCAATTTCTTCACTTCTTTTTCAAAGAAATTCATAGATTTTTGGTATTTTTGAGTGGATTTTCAATCCCAAGCAACTTTAGGTAAGATCCTTGCACTAAGAAGTGATTTTCATTTTTAAAATGTTGAATTTTGATGGTTTGCGCTCATAGGATTTAAGAAGAAAAGAGTTTGATCAAAGAAGATTCTAAAAGGGGTTAGATTGCTCATATCAAAAGTAAGTAAATCCCACACAAGTTATGATTTCAGAAATCAAGTGTGTAGAGATTTTACATACATGTATATGCTCATGATTTGAGAATTGTTGATGCAATTGATGAATTATTGATGAGTTTGTTGATTATTGATGAATAGAATTTAGCCATGAGAAGTGGTTTTGGTTGTATGATGATTATTTGAAGTTTGGTTGAAGTTTGAAAGAGTTGAATAGAATTTTTGGGAGTGTATTGTT